TGTCATGCCATGTGACAAGAGGTGTCACCTAGCAGTGCGAGGATAAGCAGGTGGGTGAACAACAAAGCGGCAGGTACCACTAAAGATGATCTAGGGCATGCGAGGATAAGTCAATGTGGACGAGGCGGTGTAGGGACAAGAGCTAATGCAGACAAGACAACACGAGGAGTCGAGGGCTAGGCAGGGGGATGCTAATGTAGACAGATTGGATAAGGGGACGCTCTGCTACGAGAAAACAAACCGAAAGAGTATTGACATAGGAAGATGATGAACAGGCATAACAATATTGTCAAAAACTACACACGTTACCTCTTGATCAAATGTCGCACAGGCAACTAACTAGTATTTTTAGCAGCGCGGAGACAATCAAACATCAACTATGTTGAAATAGATCCATTTACTGAAGAAGAAACTAAAGGGAATGCTCTTTTTAAAATGAAATCCAACAGAACTGCTGGTCTTGATGGACTTTTATGGATTTTTTTCCCGTAGGTGTAGGACATTTTCAAATTATATCATGCATACACTCCTACTCTCAAGAGTTTTGCGACAATAAATTTGATGCTAGGGGTTAGATTATGTGATAGTCACCCTTCTTCCAAACGTTGATCATGCAATATCCCTACAGACTGATTATCTGATGGTCATCCTTCTTCCAAAATACAGATTCCAGAAAGTGGTGCTTCTGTTGTATGTTCAAAAAATTAATTTAGCCATTTAGCTGAAGGTGAGAGAATGACTATTGGGAAAGATGAGATAATGACTATTGGGAAAGATGACGAACTAGCCCTTTCTCATGCAAACATGTTCAATCATCAAATAGGAAACTTTCCAATCAAATAACTAGGGGCAGCTGTTACTGCATCTTAGAACACATGTCATTGACTAGGAGAAAGTAGATGAGAAAATCATGAGAAGCCTTGATATCTACCAGGGATATATATGTAAACTGATGGCAGGACTACATTGATTAATTCCAGTTATCCAACATCCCTACTTGCTGTATGCTCTTATTTCTGAACACTGTCTAGCAAAGCGCTGGGACAAATGGAACATATCACCAGGTCAATTGGGATAACATTTGTGGTCAAAAAAGAAACAGTTCTTGCTATTAAAACTATGAGGAAATGAATGTAAATATCCCTAATAAATGATGGTGGAAACTCTAAAAACAGGAACGTTTATAGCAGGAGAATGTCAAGGAAAAATAAGGCAGATGACTTGTGCTTGCCTACTAAAGGTTCAAAATATTAATTTGAAAGGCAAGAAAGTCTATCATTTGTAATGGTGATAATACCAAATAATGAGAGGCTAAATAGATTGGTGATAAATTTTGCTCAATAATACCCTGCTCTTTATGATATATGTGATAAGAAGGATAAATCAGTGAGTCAATGCTATTACCAATGGCAGCGAAGTTTTAGGAGATGGTTAACAGGTGTCATAAAGAGGATTTTGTATTGTCACAAGCTCAACAGATTAGTCTGTCTGTTGCTCCTGATGTTACCACATGGTCTTGGGGGAATAAACTATAAAGGCAGGTTTACAGTGAAATTTGTATGGATGATAGATATGGTGATAGTTCTTTTACACACATATAGAAAGCCGAAATATCTATCAAAGTTAAAACATTTTTGTTGTCGTTAGAAAAGGTGCGCTGTTAAGAAGACAAAATGATAAAAACGAAATGGCTGGGTGATAAAAAATACTAGTACAACTGAGGCCATCCTGGAGCTGTCCAACATTTTTTATTTGAATCTGCTATGCCTGAGGATGTTTGGAGAGAGATTGCTGTGTTCATTCATGCTGATGTTATTCCTCAATCAGCTAAAAAAATCATGGGCCGAGAAATTCTCACCCAAAGGTAAAAGAATTCATGCACTGGGCTTAGCAGCTGTGTGTTGGGGAATTTGGAAGTTAAGAAATAGATGCAGCCTTGAAAATATTGATTTTAATCTCCTAGTGAGATAATTCTCCACGCATGTGTGCTGCTAAAACAGATAAAGCAGAGCTGTTGAACAGGATGAACAAACAAGAACTCCTACAATGATTGTAAGGGATGTTGCAGTATCCAGTATAACTCATGGGATGGGATGCTGCTAGTCAACATGTTTCTGCTAACGTACTTCCTTCATGCTCCTGATATAGCCTGCGTGGGGGAAGCTACAGGATGCGAAAAAGGGGGATGGCAAGATGAAACATGAGAGAAATGTGACAAAAAAAGGATGTGCTTTTGGTGTCCAGTAATCTATTTTCTCCCATTTTTTTTCAGGTGTCGAAAGGCTAATTTGAGTTAGTTAATTCTGCTTACCATACTTTCTTTGGCTTTTGAAATATATTTCCATCTTCTACCTATACTGTTTCTCATTTTCCATTCATGCACAATGGGAAAATGGAGAATCCTATCTTAAATAGAAGAGTAACAAACACTAATGTGAGAAAAATTAGAATAATCTGAATATTTTTTAAGTGATTTACATGAAAACTTGTGCCTTTTATATAGTAAACAGACGTCTTCTTACGATCATATTTCTGCATTTCCCTCATTCCGTGTGGTCAACCTACTAATAAATGTCTTGTAACTATAGATAAACATAAGGCCTTTTGCAGTAGATATAAAAGTAAACTGCAGTCAAACATAGTAAAAATAAACTTACTGGTATGTCCACACAGGAACCGATGACTCCTCCTTCGTCAAGATGACTCTCACATATTCTCATAAGTAAGTTCTCCAACTGATAGCAACAACAAGAATAATAAATGTGAGTTATTAAGATCATAAACATGAGACATAAGTTTTCTATCCACTTATAACTCACAAAACAACATAACACAATTACTGCTATTACTGTTAAGATAATTACCTCAATTGTGGTAGCATTGTGCTCTCCATTCACGGAGTCAATGATATCACCGGGTCTAACTCCTAGTTCGTCAGCAACTGATCCATGAGACACCTACAGTTCAATTTGTCATGCACTACTCAACAGAGGGAAAAGTGTACATTTTTAAAGAAAACAAGGAACAGTAGACAACATATACCTCATGAACTATTAGACCCGAATCGACATTACACCTACGAAAGATCCTATCCACATGAATTGGATCAAGAAATTTAATGGGTGAAAGCTTCATCCCAATATGCAGCCGAGGGATACACCTTGCAAAAATAACCAAAAAAAAACAATTCGATGAATGGAGCTTTGTATCTATGCTGCATTTTCTGTCTGTCGTGGTCCATCGAATGTAGTTATTTCATTAACAAATAAGAGATAATTAGTGTAATCATTATTAGATCTATGTAGGTTTCATGTCTCTAGGTCGTACCGACAGAATTAGGATATGAAACGTGGTCTGTAAGATAATTGGGTTCATATACTGGGCTTGAAGAGAACAGTTTAGCTCAAAGAAGATGAAGCAAACATTACAGCTCGTACTGAGATGAGAAGTATCTCGGGTCTATAGGTGCAGAATCAGGATGAATTGTACTGGATTTTCCCATATGAATTGGCTTTTAAAGACGAGTTGTCACCAGATATAACTTGCCTTCTTATATTTCAGTTGATAAAACAAGGGTAATTTCCCATATGAATTGGGTTTTCCCATATGAATTTCCTATGCTGCTGTAGTGTGTTTTATTTGTAGGGCTTGTTGAGCTGTGCCCTCAGCAGTGCCCTCACTGAACCTCTTACTTGTGAGACCTCCGTGTGGGTGTGTGTGTGTGTTGTTTGAACTCTGTTGGATGTTGTGGCTTGGTGGTTTGCTTTATATATAAAGCGGGGTGAAAGCCTTTTTCGGTAAAACAAGGGTAATTAGTATAACTTATTTTTACTTCTATATTTCAGTCTTGCTGATTTATTCTAGTTTCTGTTTCTACAAACAATGGTTTAACCATTGTTTTTTGTGTTCGTGTTGTAGCCTGTTGTGGCCTAAGGTGTGCTCAAGTCTGAATCCATTAGTTTAGATTGTATTACTTTTCTCATTTGAGATTCTGTGGTCCAGTTTTAATTTGTGTTGCTCCAAACCTAGTATTTGCAGATGCTTGTTTCGGAGATCCAAGTTCTGCGTCAGATCTGTCGTCAAAGGTAAATCCTTCTAGCCGATGCATATATTATGGGCTTACTACTGGTAATGTTGTCTCACAATTATTAGGCCCTAATTTCTGATGGAATATTCCTCCATTCAGCCTTTTTTAATTCCTTCAGAAATACATTCAGCTTGTTTGGGAGGGTCTACTTATAAGCGTTTGTCTATTAAAGGTTGACATTCTAAAGATGCTCTTGCAATGTTGGCATGTAATGTGCTTAGCTATATTACTAACCAATGACTAGATATGCAACTTTTCATGTAAAATAAAAAGAAAAACTTACTACTAAAACAAGAATCATTTATCGAGTTTCTTGTTTCTACTGGAGCTTATACCTCTTAAACATCAGTTTTGGCACATTCGTGAAACAAACATAATTGTATACTTATTGCCCAGCCATTGGTTCTATAGGGATCCATACCAACATTTTTTGCTTCAGATTCTTATAAACTGTAAGGCATTGCTTTTGGTCTTCTTTAACATGTTTTCTTGTCTTCAGGGTAATCCATTCAAAAATGACTAATTTGTTTCCTTTCTCTTTTTTACCACTGCCACATTTATTTACTTCCATTTATTTATTCATCTACATGATTATCTGCATGATTTTCCATCAGTTGCATAACCAGTATGCTATTGAGCATTTTGATTTTGTTATTAGTATTAGGTAGATGCAAACGATTCATTACTGCGAAAGCTCTCCCTAGAAGCTACTCCCTCTGTAAACTTTTAAACTTTTATAAGACGTTTTAGGTCCATGGTATGCAGGTGGATGAACCAGCTGCTTGCTCCGTGATGCTGGTGGATGAACCAGCTTCTTGCTCCGTGATGCTCCATCATACATAGATGTACAATAGTCCAGGGAATGAGAAGAGAATGCATGCAGGACCGAATCAGGAGGTAAGCACCAAGATCCAGCAAAGAGCAACTCCTGAGGGGTGTTATGCATCGCCTCCTCCGGCGATTCCGGCCAACCAATAGCAATGAGCAGCAGCTGCGGAGGAAGCCCCAACAACAGAAATGGCGCTTCAACCAGACGCTCCACGACGTGCAAGGATCAGCCGCCTACAAAATGACTCTCTTTGGTGCAGAACTGTGAAAATTAGAGCTTTCTTGGGGTTCCCAGGTTAGTAGTGTTGCACTTTTGATCCATTCCATCTCTTGGTGTGGTGGATCTGATGATTTTTAGCCAGTAAAGTCTATCAGAACGGATTATGATGCATTTGATTGTGTCAATTAGGTGCTGGAGTGTCTCCCTCTAAGCAAAACTGAATGGGTAGTGCAAAGTAGTATGAGTATCATCAGTGTATTTACATTTGGTAATCCAATATGATGCAGGTGCACCTATCCATGGATCTCATTGTTCTTTCATGTGAAACTACGTATTGCAGAAAAAGATGTTATATCCGTGAGGTCTTCCCATAAGATGATTTTAAATTTACTATTCACTTGCCTATTAGTTAGTTTGTAGAATATTTGCTATATCCAATTTTACCTTGTGATATCCTTTATTTTTGTATTTATCCAAGATATTACCTTGTGTTATATGCTCTTTTCTGTTGTTGGCTTCTTGTATTTGAGAATCATCTGGGTCATTACCTTTATTTTTGTATTTATCCCAGACATTACTGGACGTTTTTTCTATAGTTCCCGGCATTATCTGGGTCATTACATCCACGCAAAAAAAGAAATTTTGAAACGCTGCCTTATCCAAGAAGAGAAGTCAGGAACGCCCACCGTAACGACTTTGATACGCCAATTGCTTCTCACATGCAGGATCTAATTTACTTGCATGCACGTCCTAGAATTACCTCGCTCCCTCTTGTTTACGGTGGGAAACCGGTCCCTTGCTTGATACTGTAATTTTATCTCAAGTGCTTTGTTTCTTATGCTCTCAAGTTCTGTCCGTGAGATTGAACTGGGGTGAACACAAGTGCACAACAACATCTATCATGTTTCAGTTTTCTCAAGATATTTGTTCAATACTAAAATCATATAATGATAGCAACGAAAGAAAACTTACTGATATTTCTTCCACATATCCAAGCACTTCAATATAATAGAGGAAGGAATAAATGCCGTTCCTGGAAAATTAGCCAGCCCCCAAACTTGTCCATTCAAGTCAATAACAGGTCCTCCAATGCTAGGCTAAAACATTTAAATTGCCAACATTAGAATTATAAGCAACATAAGTTAATAATAATTTATGAGACAATCACGATGTATGATTAATTATACCTGATTAATCACACAACCACTGAAGAGATAATGATGGCGTTGAAATTTATTTGGGCCCATAAATTGAACACGTCCATGATGAATAGTCAAATTTTGATGTTCATCTCTACCAAGCACAAATATCTCTTGACCATAGATCACGTCACCACTGAAGCTAGGAATCTTAGCACATAATTCTATCTCAACCTTAATCAAAGCAATGTTGACGTGCTTGTCATAATGAAGCAATATTGCTGGTACAGTAGCATCATCTTCATCCAATAAATGAGCAACAATCTAAAGATGGATACAAAAGATAACATAAATGTGCATTTAGCATACTTGTAAGTACAAAAATACATGGGCATGCATATAAACCAAAATTCCAAAATTCATTTGTTTGTGAACTCACCTCAGCATTAGGTGCATACTCATCTGTACCTGACCACTGGCTTAGGGCTGAATACTTTGAACAGATTATGCGGGCAGATGTCAAAACTGTGCCTGCTTTACTCCTCTCATCCCAATCAATTAGAAAGCCCGATGATCGTGCCATCAGTTTACCATCTGTAGATGCAATAATAGATTAGATGAAGACAAAGGATAGAGAGAGATCGAATAAAGGCAATGTGTTACATACCGACATAGGACGAAAAGCCAAGAACAACTTTAGCTACTTGAAGAACTGTTTTTGTTGCAGACTCACGAACACTCTGCAATTTCTCATTTACCATACATGAAGAAGCCTTGGAGCGATCAAGTGTTACAAGTTGAAGTTGGCGCTCTGCAGGTTAACATGCAAAAAAATGGCGAATCAGTCTATTGTATTCAAAATCCATATTATCTTAAGAAAAAGAGATATCCTACTAATCAGATGGAATAAAAGCAGAGTGTTAGGGCCACACCTAGCACCAAAGTATTGCCTAGTGTCAGCCAAACTGTTGCAACATTTTATACAACTCTCTACCGCATCCTCTCAAGTCAATACACAATCTTCTACCATATCTTGCCTCTCGCAGGATCCAACCATACATGCCCGCCGAGGCATTGTTACCACAGACAAGAGGGAGAACAATACCATACTCTTCCTCCATATGCAATTTTCTGCCATATCTAGTTCCCTAGATGTAGTATTCAGTCATGCATGCATAACTGCGTGCTGAAATGTTCTTTATGGCACACAAGAGGGCAATACGATATCCAATTTCCTACCCCCTCCGTCCCACAATATAAGATCTTGATGGCACACAAGAGGGACTACTATATCAAAATCTCTAGCAGCATTCAATAATGGCTATAAGATGAAAAGGAAAGTCCCAAACTTACTTCTTTTCGCATGGTACTTGGAACTCAATTCCATATAGGCTTCGCAGGCAGGCTCCATCGCAGGGTCGTAGTTACGTCCTGCGCCCATGGCGGGGGCGGGGGGAAGAGGGCAACGCAGAGGAGAGCTGGCCGCAGAGGAAGCCTCGGAGGAGGAGGAGGCATGCGATGCGCCTGGTGAAGCTGAGGTCGTCGCCGCGGCCTCCTCGTCCTTGCTGCTAGCGGCTTTCTTCTCGTCAGTTCTCTTCCGCTTCTTGGCGGTTCTCTTCTGCCTCCTGCGTCCCTGCGATGCTGCGGACGACGGCTCCGGGGAGGCTTTCCTCTTGCCTCGCTGCGATGACGGCGCACCTTCTGGTTGGGCCTCCGCAGACTCGTCTGATACCGTGATACGCCGCCGCCGCCGCCGCCCTGCCCTCGACCTAGATCCCGACACCTCATCCTGTGTTGTCGACGCCCCTCGCTGCGATGACGGCGCAGCTTCCGGTTGGGCCTCCGCAGAACGGTCGGACACCGGGATACGCCCCCGCCCTACCCTTGACTTAGATCCCGACACATCTTCATGCGTGGTCGGCGCCATGACCGTGCTTTTTCCCAACACTGTCAGTGGTTTATTGATTCTCTTCGTATTTTGTGTTAGAAAACAATGATCATAAATTAATTACTAACAAAATTTTAATGATGCCATGGAAATGTTATATAGATATTCATATTTCGACATAGTTTCCAAAGACATTATTATTGTTATATATTGTATAACTTATAGTTTATAGTTTCGGCGCGGGCGTTGCAATCATGAGCTCAGCGCCATGTTGGTAGCGTGCGGAGGCAGCTACTCCTCGCCAAGGAGATTATTTTGCGGCTGGACGTGGCTCAAGAGTTGAGGCAGCTCACTGATGCTGAGTTCGCGTTCCGAGCGGAGCTCAAGTTGAAGGTGTTCGGGCTTGCTTCCCTCGAGCGTACAATTGCACGACATCGCTCGCGGGTGACTTGGTTGCGGGAAGGTGATGCCAACACACGCTACTTCCAATCATTCACGCGGCACCGGCAGCGGAGCAACCACATTACCACACTCTCTCGGGAAGGCGAGGTGGTCGTCGAGCATGATGACAAGGAGAACATGCTCTTCAACTTCTACAACGGACTGCTCGGCTCCGATGTCCCTAGGGAACACGCCTTGGACCTTGGGTTTCTAGGCCTTCCTTCGGTCGATCTCGTGGAACTTGAGGCGCCGTTCTCGGAGGAAGAGGTGTGGGCTGCGGTAAGGGACATGCCCGCCGACAAGGCGCCTGGCCCAGATGGGTTCTCTGGGCGTTTCTTCCAATCTGCATGGGCCGTCATAAAGGGCGACATCATGGCCGCTTTCGGTCAGTTATTCACCCTTCGCCCGCACGGCATGAGGAAGCTCAACGAGGCTCTTATCGTTCTGTTACCTAAACACGACGGTGCGGTTGAGGTCAAGGATTTCAGGCCTGTTAGCCTTGAGCACAGCTTCAGCAAGTTGTTTTCAAAGGTTCTAGCGTTGCGCTTCGCTCCGCGGCTGCCGGATCTTGTGGCGGCAAATCAGTCTGCGTTCGTCCGTGGCCGGAGTATCCATGATAATTTCCGGATGGTGCAGCTCACCACTAGGGCACTGCATGTGCGTCGGATCCCTTCCATGCTCCTCAAGATCGACATATCGAAGGCATTTGATTCTGTCTCGTGGCCCTTCCTTCTGGATGTGCTTCGCCACGCTAGCTTCGGCCCGAGGTTTGTCGAATGGGTGTGCATCCTACTCTCGTCGGCAAGCTCCTCCATCCTTCTGAATGGAGTGCCTGGAAGGCCATTCCTCCATCACCAGGGTCTCCGCCAGGGCAACCCGTTGTCGCCCATGTTGTTCCTCCTTGTGATGGAGGTGCTAAACGCCCTTCTCGCTAGGGCTGAGGGCATGGGCATGTTGTCGCCGCTACAGTGCCAAGGTGCCCGCTTCCGCACCTCGATGTATGCCAACGATGTCGTTGTCTTTGTCAAGCCATCCCCTTCGGACCCGTCGCTCGTGCGGGCCGTGCTTGACTGTTTTGGTGGAGCATCTGGGTTGCGCACCGACCTACGTAAGTGCTCATTGTCGCCGATCAGATGCTCCGAGGAGCACCTAGTAGTTGTTGTCCAACACTTTCCATGCCAGATACTGAGGTTCCCCTGTACCTATCTTGGCCTCCCTCTCTCATACAAGATGAGGTTGCCAAGGGTGTGCCTTCAAGCTTTATTGGACAGGGTATGCAATCGACTACAGCCATGGATTTGCTCGTTGGATCACCGTGGTTGGTCGCCTCGTGCTTGTCAAGTCGGTCCTCACATCCATCCCCGTGTATCACTCCATCGCGATGCAGCTGCCCGTATGGCTGATCGATGGGTTTGAGAAGAGGATCCGTGCCTTCTTTTGGAAGGGGACCGACGTCGTTAGCGGTGGCCATTGTCTGGTGGCTTGGGAGCAAGTGTGCAAGCCGTTCGAGTATGGTGGTTTGGGCGTCCTGAACCTTAAGCTACTAGGTTATGCGTTTCGGGCACGCTGGCTATGGATGCAACGCACATCTGATTGTTGTTGGTCGGGCCTGCAGCCGGCCGTGGAGCCTGAGGTGCAGGCTATTTTTGACTCGTCCATCAAGGTGACGTTGGGGGATGGTAGAAAGGCTCTTTTTTGGACGGATTTCTGGCTCCACGGGCGTTCCATTCAGTTTGAGGCCCCAGAGCTATTCCTAGCGGTGAACGACGGTGCGCGGCGCACGCGAATAGTTCATGAGGCCTTGGCGGACCGCGCTTGGATCAGGGACATCACAGGGGTGTTGATGGTTAGAGTGCTAACTCAATTCTTGATGCTCACGGACTTGCTTCTTGAGGTGCACCTACTCCCTGAGATTCCAGATCGCATAATCTGGAAGTGGACGCCGACTGAGGTATATTCTGCGAGCTCAGCTTAGCAGGTGTTCTTTGCTGGCCTCGAGAGGTTCCCATGCGGTCGGGCCCTTTGGAAGACTTGGGCCCCGGCCAAGTGCAAGCTTCACTTCTGGCTAGCGATGAGGCGTCGGATTTGGACGGCAGACAGACGCCTTCGACACGGCCTCCAGTCCCACGTCATGTGCCCATTATGCGAGCAGGAGGCTAAGACTGCAGACCACCTGGCGCTGGGCTGTGTGTTTTCCAGGGAGGTGTGGCACTCTGCCCTCGCACGGTGCGGCCTTGGCCAGTTGGTGCCCAGCATGGATGCAACTCTCATAGAGTGGTGGCCAGCCAGTCGTGCGATGATCCCGAAGGAGCGGAGGAAGGGGTTTGATTCGCTTGCCCTCCTCATCGTCTGGATGCTATGGAGGGAGCGTAATAGTCGTGTCTTCGAGCGGTCAGTGGTCGTTGCTAGAGAGCTTTATCGTCGCATCAGTGATGAGGTTGAGCTATGGAAACTTTCTGGTGCGAGGGGGTTGTCGGACTTCTGGAGGTAGGACCTTCTAGCATGTAGGGTGTTGTTGGGTGCCCCATGGTGTTAATGGCTGCCCACCATATGCTACCGTGGGGATGATTGTAACCGCGGCAAGCCGCCGGACTCTTTGTACTTCTATTTCTCTTCTTCTAATACATCGACGCGCAAAGCTTTTGCGTGTTCGCAAAAAAAATAGTTTATTAGTTAAAATTATGGTCAAAATATGACTCTAAATATAGGGGACTAAGAGCATCCCACATCGATAGCTAATCCGAACCCCTATACTCCCGCAGACACGTTCACGGATAGTGAACAGATGTGCATCAAAACTTATCATTTGTAACCATGGTCGCTATTTTCAAAACACCAAATCAATGCAAGCACATGCACGCCGATTATTTTGGATAAATATTGTTCATACTCAATAGTAGTATATAATTCACATATAGTTCAAACGTAAATATTATTTATAATGCATAACTGATAAAAAAACAAGTTTAGTGATTTTCAATGTGTGTTCACGTATGCTCGACAAGGTCATCCAGAAGTTGCATATGCACTTATTGATCTCGCATTTGTTGATGCATCTCTAGAAAGTTAGCAATACTCTTGTTCTGAGAGAAATACCTGAACACCAGACTTCTCAAAATCATGTGTGCACGTTACCCCTTCACCCTCATCCTCGACAATCATGCAAGATAACAACATGTCATGAGCTGCCAAAGTGTCTCCGGTTTCCACATCATCACAGCTCCACGAACAATACCCCAATGAGCTTGGAGCACTCCAAATGCCCTCTCCACATCCTTCCTAGGTTCCTCTTGCATTATTGCAAAGCGGGTTTGTTTGTTGACTTAGGGATTATATATGGTCATCACAAACGCCGCCCATTGAGGATAGATACCATCGGCAAGATAGTACCCCATGGTGTAGTTGTGTTCGTTGACGGTATAGTTACACGGTGGAGCTTCTCCATCACAGAATCTCTTGAATAAAGGAGATCGTTGGAGCACATTGATGTCACTACACGAACCTGGCATGCCAAAGAAAGCATGCCAAACCCACAAGTCATGTGATGTCACTGCTTCAAGTATGATGGTGGCTTCTCGGACATGACCTTGGTATTGCCCAGGCAAACCTTTTGGATAGTTCTTCCACTGCCAGTGTATGCAATCAACTGAACCTAGCATACTGGCAATCCTCTTGCTACTCCAATTGCCAACAATTTCTTTGTGTCCTCCATAGTTGGCTCTCTCACGTACCCTGCTCCGAATATCTTCACCACAGGGCATGCAAATTGCACCGTGGTGTTCAAGACCATGGTCTCCCCGATTCCGGATTTCTACATCAATTGCATCTATTGCTTTACCATAAGCAAGCATCCTGAGAGTACTAGTGCATTTCTGCATAGGAGAGAGAAATTTTTCCGCAACAATCCTTCCTCAGCTTGAAGTTGTCATCAACATTTCCAAGCCTTCCACTACCTGTGAGAACAAGTTTCTGCTCATCCGCAGTAGCGACGGTGAAAAGAATGTTTTGTGGAATGTTAGGACAGTTGCGAAGTAGTCCGTGAATAAAAGTCGTGCATCGGCAATCCTATCACGCGGAATCACTTTCTGGCCCTTGATTGAACCCTTGAAGTTTAGGACGTGATCCTCTGCCTTCTCGAACTCCTCTTGGATGCTCATCTTCATCATCACTTCAGCATCCTCATTGTCTGAATTCGACGATGTGATGAACTCTTTGAATATTAATTCGTAAGATCATCGTTTCCATAGCCATCATTCCATGTCGAATCCATTGGTGACCTAGAAGTAATGACCGAAAGAAATTAAAACCTGCTCGGGCATTTCATCAAACAAGTAGAGCACGGGGTGAAAATATGGGGGAGTTTGAGGTAGTGGGACGTCATTTGGTGGCGCCCTGGTCGGCCTCGGTGTGCATTGCGGTGTCCGATGGCGAAGCCCTGAGTTGGGGATGGTAGCAGAGCACCGATACCGGCGGAAGTCCGATGGCGGTTGTGTGGAGGAGGGAGAATAGAGAAGAGTAGAGTGCTAGTCCGGCAAGAAGAGGGGAGGCGGATATGAGCGAATTGGTGTAGGCCCTAGCGGCCAGTCCGGCATGGTGGG